TCCACCAATTAAGTTCAATTAGAGACCAAAAGAGCTTATCGCTCCGTGTCTGATGCACTGGTTTTCACTTTCTCCGTGACGATCGCGGGTCAATGTATTTACTGCGATATTTTCTGATAACTGGGTCCAATAGATTTCTCGGTATATGATACCAAAGTTCCCATAAAAGAAATGTGAGCCTTGGCCATCGAGTTTTATGATTAGCAATAGCTCATTAAGTTTCTGCGATAAAGTAAACACAAACAAACAGAAGTTTGCAGTCTAAACATTAGTTTTGTTAATGTAGATCAGTTATGCATATTTACGTTAAATGTTCACCGTAGCTGTAGCATTTACAAAACATTTCCATTTCCAAAAACATGTTAAAGCTAAGATAAAACAAATTAACTTGATAAGCATCAAATTCATCAAAATAAATAGGTAAGGACTTTTGCCCTAACCGTCGTCTTTCTTACAGAAAACATGCTAATTTTAAGGCGTTGACAGTGATGACAGTGATTTCACGTAGTTTAATATTATGGCAAACTATTTGTTGCCTGTCCACTATAATTTTGATTATTAGTGCAGATTTAAGTTTAAACTGTAACCCTCTTTTTTCTTACTGGTAAATTATAAAAATAATTAACTATTATTCAACATTTTCCATTCTAGATTCCATAACCTAGTCGTGGCATTTGAATCATTGCCGAAGTGCATACCCAAAAATGGACAACGAGCAGCCGCATCAAGAGTTGGTGAAGTGCGTCCTAGTGGGGGACACGGCTGTGGGCAAAACGCGACTGATCTGCGCAAGAGCCTGCAACAAACACGTCTCCCTATCGCAGCTACTTTCCACACATGTGCCGACCGTCTGGGCCATCGATCAGTACCGTATATATAAGGATGTATGTTGCCATTTAAAACATGCAAACCCATCCCTTTAACTCCGCGCTTTCGCAATTTCAAGGTACTCGAGCGATCGTGGGAGGTGGTGGATGGAGTCAATGTCTCACTCCGCCTTTGGGACACATTTGGGGACCACGACAAGGATCGCCGTTTCGCCTATGGCAGGTTTGTTACCATTCAAACGCTTTCAATGTAAGAAACTATAGTTTTCTCCTTGACCAACAGATCCGATGTGGTGTTGCTATGCTTTTCCATTGCCAGTCCGATTTCCCTGCGCAACTGCAAGATGATGTGGTATCCGGAAATTCGCCGCTTCTGTCCGGATGTGCCCGTCATTCTGGTGGGCTGCAAGAACGACCTGCGCTATATGTACCGCGATGAGAACTATCTTTCGTATTTCGGCGAGAAGGGAACCTTTGTACGGTATGCTTAGCTAACAGGTTTCAGCCGGTTTTCTCTCAGTTTTTATTTTCTAATTGCAAATCTTGTGGCTCTTCTTATTGATTCAATTATTCTTTAAGTAGAAATCTATTTTTAACTTCTTAATGAATGCACACTCAAGAGCTAATTCAATGTTATCAAACTGAGAAAAACCGCTTTTAGGGGAATTCGGTGATTCAATAACATTTGAGGTGTTTGTGATTTAATTAAATTGTAATGCATACATTTACATTAGATTGTTTTGTTTGATATAATAATCTATTTCAGTTAATTTACTGAGTGAATAGCTTTAATTGAGTTGTTAATGTTAATTTACCTCTGTGATTATTTAAATTAAAATTTGATTACTGGCATGATCTTTTTTACAGAGCCGCATTGAAGAGTGACCTGGTTATGCCGGATGAGGCACGTGCCGTGGCCAAGGAGCTGGGGGTGGCCTACTACGAGACCAGCGTCTTTACCTACTTCGGGGTGAATGAGGTCTTTGAAAATGCAATCCGATCCGCGTTGATTGCGCGCCGACAGCAGCGCTTCTGGATGACGAACCTGAAGAAGGTGCAGAAGCCGCTGTTGCAAGCGCCGTTCCGGCCGCCAAAGCCGCCACCACCGGAGGTCACCGTCATGGTCGGTCACTACAGGCAGGACATCTACAATATGTTCCTGTCGCAGGCCTACACCGACCTCGTCCTGGTCGGGGCGGGTGGCACCAAGTTCGCCGTGCACAGATTCATGCTGGCCGCTGCGTCCAGCATCTTCCAGCGCCTGCTGAGCACGGAGCTGACCGACATGGGCGGGCGGAGCAGCAGCGAGTCTAGCATGGTTAGCTCCACGTTCGGCGAAGCAACCATAGCGGATTTTAACGACGACACTGAATCGCTCATCCGGTACGAATCACGCACACAACGGTGGGTATCGGCCCTTGGTATTGATCAGCTAATCATTCAGCAATTTGTACTCGACAGCATGTGGGAACACTTGAAGCGGCGCTCCAGCTATCAGGCGTTACCTTTAATGGAGTCCAAGCGGTCCAACGATCTGTACAGGGAGCTGCATCACCCGGTTCTGCAGAGCATTCGTCTGGTTCACGTGGAGAATCAGCGGGGTGTGAACGGGCTGCAGACGATTGTCACACTCAGCAAACTCATCTCCCCGCAAGCTTTGCACCAGTGCCTCAGATTTATTTACACTGGCACCATTGACAAGGATTGCAATAATCTGCAGGTAGGATGCGTCATTGCTTCTGGCAAACATTTTAATCTAATCTAATCTAACTAGACATCCATACGTCAAAAGATTATTACAAACTATTTTATTGTGTGCACTTTGGTCTAAAGCTTAATGAGTATTAATTATTTGTGATTACAGGAAATTAGAGAAGCTGCCGATCTGTTAGAACTGCCGCAACTAACTCAGCTACTTTCCAGGCCTCAAACAGTTATGGAGAACTCCAGCGATGAACCAAACCCGCACATTTGTCTTGTAAGATCATTGATAACTCCTATAAACAAACAGTCATTAGCATTATCTCTATTGTACTTTAGCGCATCAAAGAAAGCATGGAACGGCATTGCATTGGTGACGGTTGTTTTAGCGATGTCACCTTCGAATTGGACGACGGCTTAATGAAGGTATATAATTTTAATCACCATTCAATGCAATCTATTTAACTTATGTATCTTCGATGATTTGCAGGCACACCGCGCTGTGTTAGTTGGTCGTTGTGATGTCATGCGCGCAATGTTGTTAGGTGACTTTCGCGAGGCGCATTCCAATGTGGTAGGAAGAGTCCTCACTTTCTCGAATCCTTCAATATTAAATTGAAATCCCTTTGTCCCCAGATCGTATTCCCAGGCGTTACAATTTACACATTCCACAAGCTGCTGTGCTACCTGTATACCGACCAGATTCCGCCAATCTCGGCCGTCAAGTGCCTCAACCTCCTGGAGCTGGCCAACCGACTCTGCCTGCCGCGGCTGCTAAACCTGGTCGAGTGTCGCGTTATCGAAGATCTCACTCTGATTTCCCAGAACGAAACCAATGAAACGGTGGATCACTGTCTAAAGTTGCTGGAACCAGTAAAGGTATACATAGATTAATTGTTTAAACATAAATTATAGAATAAATTTGCCGTACAAGACTACAAATTTTGAATTAAAAGTCAATTTAAATATGCAGTTAAAGTAATCTTAAATACCTTTGACATTTTAAAATATAAGTTCGATTTCAAAATCGTATAAAGATTTTTAATTTTTGTATAATATTAGTTTAAAGTCCTTACTAATGCAACATTTCATCTCCAGCTGCACAACGCACATCAGTTGGCCGAGTGGTGCATGTCGTACCTGTGCGTCAATTACAACCTTATTTGTAAGTTCTCACTGAAGGGTCTGAAGGCGCTGCATCAGGATAATCAGGAGTACTTGCGGGAGCACCGCTGGCCTCCAGTTTGGTATCTGAAGGACTATGACTACTATCAGCGCTGCCTGAACGAGTTGAACAAGGAGTTGAAGCTGAAGACTTCGAGGCGAGAGTCTCCAAGCGATGACGAGGGTTGTCTGTGCTTCACGGGCGGTAAGTGTTGCTACTTCTTATGGAATTATCTGCTCCACATCCCAGTACACTTGACATCCCAGACCCAATCTCAGATCAGGTTTTAGTTTCAGCCAGATAATACTTCTTTCAATGCTAGCTCTAAAGGATATTGTATGTACCACATTCATGGTTTGTATTTGTAGTCAGGGGTCTCGTTATGGTTTTCCTTTTCCTTTTGATTTCCTTGCTCATTTACAACGACAACGCCATCATCGTAATATTAATGTCCGAAATTTGGTCAAAGTATTCTCTTGCTGGCTGTTAGGTAAATCGAAGCGCAGCGGAGATGTGAGTGGAACCACGGAGAACAGCAATGCCGATAATCAGATCTTCAACAGTGCCGGCAATTCGATCAACCACATCGATCTGGAGACGGACATGGACCTGAATCTCTGACACCCAGCCCTCGGGCAAGGAAGGTGTGTAAACTTTTATGGTGGAAAAATAACTAACTAACTAACTAATTTGTGATGACTGCATTGACATCTTTCAGATCACTGCGCTTCATTGTGATCCTGCCGGTCCTGATCTGTTTCATCTGTACGATTTTAAGTATTTTGATACTTTTCCAAATCCACACATAACAAACCTCAAGTACACACGATTCGACGTGGGCGGGATGGGGATGGGGATGGGGAGTGGCGCGTCTGCTTTTGACATTACGCAATATATAGAGCGCAAATTTGCCTTAGTGATTACTAATACATAAGTCCAACATAGCTCGACCCAGAACAAAGGAGCATACTGCAAAGTGCTTCGGATTTCTTATATTTATACGCCTATATATAATGCAAAGCATAGACGAGTATGTATGCACATGCACCTCGGCGATGCGAAGCATTTCGCTGTATTGCCTTACGATATATCGGTGTACACTCGACCTGTTCTGCACGATTCCAAGGACGCAGACATGTGTATATCCTTATATTTGTACCTTTACCTAAGACATGTATGTATGTATGTATATTTTTGAATTCCTACTTACGGAAACATTTGTCTAGCCATAGCTCTAAGCAATACTTTATGATAAGGACGCATTTTGTACAGAATGATAGAATAAAGCAATTACGAACAAATCTTCCTTGTTTTCACTAAAAATGCTACAATTAATTTATTAACTTTCGTAACAAAACAGTTCACATGCCACTTATATCAGCACAAAACAAAAAGAAAGTAAATTTAGAGCCCCTGTACGGCTTTTACGGTTCTGGTACTCGATTGAGAAACGGTACCATCCTCAACCTCTAGAGCTTGCAGCATGGCAATCATCTCCTCGTCCGTGATCACAACCTCCGCTTTTTCGTTGTTTTTAATGAGTGGACTGAACACCGCTGGCGATGATTCGCCACACAGTTCGCGCAATTCCTTTTCGAGCTGATCCTCCTCTTGGCTAACGTCCTCCACGACGCTGTTGGACATCACGTCCTGGACTTCCCGATGCTGATCTAGAGTGTCCCGCACATCGGCCAGAACTTCGTCGACGTTGTCGTACTTCAAGCCGGAATCCGAAAGTACTTTCTTTAAGGTATTGGAACCGATTTTGTAGGCATCGAGCACAACGCCACTGTTTTGTGCCTCATCCACGCTGGACAAAAGGGACTCGATGTTGTGCAGGGCAATACTGCGACGTTCTTATTAAAAAATCAGAATAAATGGTTAACAAAACTCAAGTAAGGAGGAGGATTATTCATTGACTAAAAGACCGTCTAACTGAGATGGTTAAAGCTAGACTTTAGGAGTCATCAGCTCATCTTTATGATAAACTAAAAGTAAGTAAAACAAATAGAATTCTATCGTTTAAGACTTACTTTTAGCTTACAGTAGACAGTATTTTAGAAAATAAACAATTTGTATATGGTCTTTACCATGATTCTTCTCTAGAAGATGCCTTTTCCGCAGATATGTTTTGGCCATTTGCCGCTTGTTTTCTTTTAAGTACTGACGCGCTTTGTCGTCGTTTAACTTGATTTCTTCCTCCAGGTCTTCCAACTGCTTGAGTAACTGGGCCTGAGTATTTTGAAGATTATGAACGGCATGATCTTCCTGACTGATATTAAGATCATCGCCCTGTTTTTCTAAAATTAAGAACATTAATTTATAAACGTATAATAGCCTTTATAAATGCCAAAACTTACTTGGTATTTTGACCAAATGAATTTGCCGTAACCCTTTTTCTATCTGAAATTCCAGACCGACAATTTGACGAACATTTAAGGTCAACAGACACACACATAAATCCTTATCTGAATAAATGCGAACTTCTTGAGATTTACAAAGTGATTTGAACGCATCGAAATGCAGGAGTTTTCCGCTGTTTTCCCGTAAGACTTTTTCGGTGATCAGTTCGCAAGTGTTCTGTAAAAATATAAAGTTTATTTACTTTGTAAACATAACTCTTAAAGATTTTAATAACAATTAACAATATTACCAAAAAGCTTTCACTTCTCCCACAGTTCAAATGTAAATCTATTAAAAGCGATTCTATAGCTATCTCCATATTATGTACTACCAATACATACGTTTAAGACATCAAGGTGAATCCACTCGACTAAGGAAGAGGCCTCCAGATCCTCCGCCACCACGCTGTGCTTGATCTTGGACCAACTCCATGAGAGGGGACGCTTCACCAGGCTGTTGACCAGCCAGCCGCCCCAGGAATCCGCCGGATCATGCTCGAATTCACTGCGAGATCGGATCTGTTTTCTCTGCTGCATCTCGGAAATCACGGTATCCAAACAGGCGGGTAGTTGGTCACCACGCATGAACTGCAGTTGCAGATCCCGCAGACTGAAGATGGGTCTTCCACTGAACTTTAGGTACTCTGCAATCAGATCCTTCCAGAATTTCATTTTTGCGTCGTAATCCTCGGTGTCCAGGTGTCGTGATCGGAACATAGCGAACTGCACCTGCATAAGAGCGTTATCCTTCCAGCTCGCTGGGAAGCTAAACTGGACTTTTCCATTTTCCTTGTCGCCGCTTGCCAGGCTCATCTTGAAAACCTCAATTTTGCCTGGATCATAAGAATTGCGCGTCTTTTGTGCTTGTGTTTTTGTTAGGGTGCTTAGTCAGCTGTTTCGTAGTGTTGCAAAATGATTCAAAATTTGTACAGCTTGTAAATAAAGTTCAAAAGAAGCAGTTAAATTTATCTTTTTTTCAGGATCAGTGATTGTATGAAATGCATTTACAAAAATGTAATTATTTGGCTTAAAAAAGACAATCATAAATATAAAATACCCTTATATGCAGGATGTAATGTTATAAATGTAACATTTTTAGCATAGGTATATTAGTTCCAAATTAAATAATCAATTATTCCGGGAAGTAACCAAAACAATGATTCCAACCCTTCAATTTGAAAGAAAATGGCTTTACAGTTTTGAGCAAGCTTTACTGCATGTGGGAATTTAGTTATGTTATTAAGATTTTAGGGATCTTTCCATTATAAAAATGTATCATTTATATTTTGTAAAAAAGGTTACATTTTTTGTTTATTTTTAAATAAAATGATATTTTGAATAGGTTTATTAAAAAACTTTTTTAAAATTATTTAATATACCATGTAACAGTAATACGTTACACATTAATTATTTATGGACTTAGTTAAGATTAGAAAGAAGTCTTTGAGGTCTTCCGTATTATAAAAATAAGACATTTAAAAAATTTTAAAAACAAAATTACATTGGTTTGCTTTTTTAAATAATATGACGCTTTTTATTAGGTTTATTAAAAAAACTCTTTTGAAATCACGTAATATACAACGTAACGGTAATCCGTTATACATTAAATGCTTGTAAACCGCTTTCCAGCACTGCCCTCTTCGATAACTTGGATATCGATTAACTTTCTTCCCATCTCGAATCAGCTGTTCCAATTCAGGCTACTAGTTTAACAACTTCTGGCGAAAATTTTGTTTTGAAGTTTTTGTTGAGTGTGCGAGGATTTCGATTCTGCTTGACTTGGCATTGGAAAGTACCACCATTCCAGAGGACTCCGCGAATGCATGGAACACGGAGCTAACTTGGCCGAGCAAGGATTCCCGCAGTATCAATGAGAGCAGCACAAGCACATCCCAGCCCCTAAGTCACGTTCTTGGTGTCTTTCGCCACGGTCCATCGGCAGTTCCAGTTCCATCAGCCCGCTTCCCCCGCTAAGACCTCAGTCCCTGGAGAAGATTCTTGATTGCGCGTGATTCTCCAGATTTCCCATTGCTCTGCGGTTTGATTGAGTCTTGCAATTCATCATGATGGAGGACGACCAGATTAACCTGCGCAATCAGTTGGCGAGAGGTAAGTCCAGATTTCGCAAGAGTCCAGAAGACTGTATCTGCATCTTGCTAAGTTCAATTCACCTGGCACTGTGGAAGGTCAAACAGCTCTATTGTTTACACTTTTTTGAACAAGAAAGATTATTAAGCATTAGATGTGGACAAAACTTTAATAGCTCCCAAAGTAATTATATAGTTCGTTTTTACAAATTCAAATATTTTGCCATAGTTTATGAACTGGTATCTCTACAACTTTTTGTTTTTCGTTAGAGCTATATATACCTACATATAAACATTGCCTAGAAAGTAATCACATGATGCTTGGGATCAAAAACCTGCATTAAAAGCTTTAGTGATGTTTATTTGGCGGGATACTATATTCTTCTTTCAAAGCTAATTTTGTTTTTTATTTAAAAAAAAATATATATTTCTTTCAAGTTTCCATAGATGTTCAACATTTTTTAAAGGCATAATAAATTGTTTTAAATTTTCTTGGTAGATAGTTGTACATAAAATTGCATAACTTATTGAGAAAATAGAAAAAAAAAGCAGAAAAAATTTAAAACTTAAAAAACAATAGCTAATAATATATGTATAGCTTGCGTGCCTTTCTTAAAGTTGTACAATTTATTTGTATTATTATTATAATAAGCAATGGTTTTGAATCTCAATTTTTATGCATTTTGCATCGTTTCTTTATTAATTATTAAGTAGATTTGCAAGTTTGCACTATGTTTAACAATAAGACAGACCTTTTCAGCTAACCAAAAATTGTCCATTCAGCAAATATGAGAATATGGCATACTTAATTATGACTGTGATCTATTTAGACCGAATCATAATAACCGTATTACCCCACTTATAACGTTTGGTCAGATTACACAAACAATATGTGATAAGATTGGCCAGTAAATCACTGATTAATTAACAACAACAATCGAAATCAGTGTCTGCATATGGAGAGTGGCTAGTAGTTTACCCCAAACACATGTATGAATGATTAGGGACCGACTTACCAACTCAGCTCTCTGCGCCCAAAAGCTTCTTTGGAAGGTTTCTTCGTTTTGGAATTTGAACCATTTCGGGTCGTTATCAGGACTCTTCAATCTTATCACGTCCTCTGCGCCTGCGGAGAGAGTGTCCAAGTGGCACAAGTTCGCCCATGAATGGCCAGATGATTGACTATGCATATGCATTGGCTAGGAATTTTTCCAAGTGGTAACCCGTGGTAAATGCAAAAGCAGGCGGACGTAATAGCGATCCACATACGTCGTAGGGTTCACACTGGGTCGTCACTGCTCTGGCTGGGTTTTAAATGTGTTTTCATAATCATTAAGTTCGTTTCGGCTCGCCGATGTCCGCTCATTAATACGGATGTGGCTGTGGCTGTGACTGTGGCTATGGCTATGGCTATATGTGTGACCATATGTACACACACCGCGTTCAGTTCGTCTGGAGCTTATACATATGCGAAAGTCGCAGCGCAGCCGCTGCCGCTTCGGGCAGTAAAATTTCATTCAAACGCGTTTCACGTCTGTTTTCGAACGGTCAACAACGGATGGGATCGGATCGGATCGGATCGCGCGATCGCCAGTTGTCGCCAGCCCCATATTAACACTCACTCACTCGCAGCGGTTTAGAAACCTATGAATTGAGCAAACACTCATCTTCTGCGGCTGGCCAATGGTCCAAACCCCTTTCCGCCTGTGATAAGTGCCCGCCTCCGAACTCGCAATCCGCTCTGTGTGTAACAGCGAAAAGCTGAAAAAAAAAGCAAACAAAATGAAAGTGCCCACGCGCAGCTCGAAATATTCATTCAATTTGAAAATATTCAAATTGCATAACGATAAGAAACCAACCAGCAGTCCCAGTCCACCGAACTCACCTGTGATCTCAGCGAAAAGAAACTCATGGCGCGCTTCGTGGCGATCGGCCTTGGGTTCCAAGAGCAAGTCCAGTCCCACGTCCTCGGACGGTCTCGACAGAGACCCCATCGAATTGGAGGCGGAACCAGCGTTTTTCGAGCGGACAAGGTGCCACAGTTCGTGCTCCATCTCCTCTTCCACCGACAATCTGTTTCCCGCCATTCAGATTCCCCAAGGCGATGAGCTTATGTGTAAGTTGGAGGGATATCTCTTCACGTTTTATTCATCAGTTTTCTAAAAACTTCATTTTCCATTCCGATAAATCCTTTTTTTTTCAAAAATATTTTTAACTCTTTTTAAAATATGATTAAATCAAAATCCTGAAAAAAATTGTTTGAAGCTCAACAATTATTTTGTTAATATGGTTTTACTGATGTTACGAGTTTACTGGCATTTTAAATGCAGAATGAATAAATGAAAATATGGTAGTAAGCCCATAAATTTGTTACCCAATTAGGTAGAAATATATTCAAACACACGTCAATTTTGTTGTGGCAAAAAAAGAAAGTAGTAAAAACAAATTTAATTTGCTTGTCGTAAGTAGATTTGCTTCAACACGAATCTGTTTAATTATAAAATAAATTAAAATTTGGGTGCAAGCTAGGAACATCTGTGGTATTATCGTCAAATGAATTTGCCGACAGTTTATTACTCAGCATTTTGTCAAGTAATTGAAGCAGAAATTGACACATTTCGGAAAAAGTTTATCACGAAGAAATAATTAATTCAAGTGAACTCCTTTACTTGAGTAGTTCTCTGGTATAACACTCGATTGAACCTGAAGATAGTCATAATTTTTAGGAAAAACAAATTTAATTTTTGCCGGAAAAGACGTATATAATGTTAAGATAAAAATCTCGCGTCTCTTGAGTTTAAATTAAGATTGTTAAACGGCTTTGATTGTGGGCACAAATAGATTTCCAGTGAGTTATGATTAGATATGCGTGGCAGGGGACCTTGCGAATCGCTAATCGACATGTGAAGATCGTTTGAATTTGGCTGAAATATACACTTGTAGTGTAATGGGTGTTGCCCGCTAAATGGTCAATTCCCTGGTCAAATCGGACAATACCAGACCACGATAAGCTGCATTCCCGGAGGTCTGATAAGAAAGGTGTGTTTACCCCGTTCGCGGCGCACATGCGTTCATTTCGATTCGACTCTCCACTTCGCCAGTGTTCAGCTGTCTACGGCTAATATATTATCCGGCAGGCAGTCAGTTAGTTGGAGCCATCGACGTGTCGCGCTTGGTTGTGGCGTCCGAGTGAAATGTTTCCGGTTTGAGCAATCCACATAGCACACAGGCGAACTGTGCTCGTAGTGAACCCAAAAGTTATAGCGACTCGCACATGCACACCTAAGCGAAAGCTCCGTGGCCGTGGAATATACACCTCGCACTCGAATACGCATTTCCCGGGTCTGTGGGCTGGGCGAAGTCAAAAAATAAAATAAAAATAAAGCGCGTTACTCTACCAGTGATTACACGACTGTGTTATGTGCAGTCGATTCTACACTCGAACGGAATAAACCAGCGTTTTAGCTCCAAGGGTTACATAATGCCGGAGGTGCTACACTTTACATCGATCTTTGATCTCATCATCAAGAGCGGTGCGTGCACTTTCAAAGTCCAATTCGGTTCAGTAGACACCACTTAAGAGCTAACCTCTTAAGGGTATATCTTCACTTACAAGTTTTTTAATCAACGAATCAGCTTGCACAAAATACTTAGAACACTTATAGTTAAATAGTTATATATATATATAAATAGATTTATGTTTAAACTAAGTAGTTAGTTGACGTTTATGACGAAATTTTTTTAAAAATTATTTTTTTGCCACTTGCAATTATAACTATTATATTGTTATAACAAAATTGTACAAAACCTTTTTTTTTTGTACTTTACAACTTGAATGATTTAGTACTAAATACCCGTTCTCAAGTTACTCTTAGCCGATATCTACTGTATATGATAAACGGATAATGTGAAGTACACGCGAAACAAAAAACTCTAGCATACCTGTATTGTGACATAGTTTGGCGCCGATTTGATCTTGACACCATGAACCGCTTTCAAGCATTTAGTGGCTCTAAGGTTTGATTTCTTTTCGCTCTTGTAATGTTTTGCAACTCGTTGCTTTGCCTGCCATTGAATCTGTGTTAAAAACTCCCCGAACATGTTTGTCGTGGCTGATTGAGACAGGTTTTACATTACAAATCAATCAAATTGATTGTCTAGTGTTGACATACAATAGATGTTTCCAGCCCTGGCTGCTAAGACTCAGAAATAAATCCAAATTTGACAGATTGTTATAAAAATATTCACAAATTTTCGCAATGCTTCTTTTGTGAGCCGCGAATTCTACGGCATTTCTTGTGCCTGAGATGTGCCTCCAAAAAAGACTTTTTAGGTTCTACTGTTACTATTGCCTAAAGGCAGGTGGGTTAACTTTAAGATAGGAATCTTAAGAAACTAAAAATGAAAAAATTAATAATATTATGATCAGAATGAAGACACAACTAACGATTACAAATTCATTGTTTCAGCGATGCCATGGTTTGGCATGGACATCGGCGGCACCCTCACGAAGTTGGTCTACTTTGAGCCCAAGGACATAACGCCGGATGAACAGGATCGCGAGGCGGGCATTTTGCGGAATATCCGACGCTACTTAACCAAAAACTCGGCGTACGGCAAAACCGGACATCGAGATACGCATCTACAGGTGAGAGAGATGAGGCAACTTCAGAGATGCATATTCGCCGTTTGTGTCGAATGTGGAATGTGGATGTGTGATTTTGTAACAAAGCGCTCTGACGCCGTCCATTAGCATCGGTATTATCATCTGAAATATTATCAATCCCAGCGCCCCGAGTCGCGATATTTGCGCGTCCAGTCAACAAGTCATCTTGTGCGGGTCGGAACGGGTCGTCTGGTGATTTAGTACGGGTATGGGTACGGGTGCCAGCACTTCCAAGTGTGAGTGCCTCTGCTGTGACCTTCACTCTAGCGCACACGCCTACACAGAAAACAATGCTGTACTAGGTACTCAATTCATTAATATTCTTAACTCTCTTCTTGATCGTAATAAACAGTAGAGAGTTAGCAAAACAGTTTTGAACTCTACAAAAAAGTTGCAATTATTTATTGATAATCTTTTTTTTGTTTTAAGTGTACCACGCGCTAATCTCTCACAAACAAGATTCCTTTGTTTACCTTTAAAGCCAAGTAAATCACTGTTAAGTTTATTCGTTTGCTTTGTTTTAATTTCAACAAACGTTTAAATAGTAGTTTAAATAGAAATCAGCAAAACGGATATTGAAAAATGGGTCATTGATCGACGTATAATAAAAACAAACATAAACCTAATGGTAATTCGATATAAAGTTAAATTTACGATGTTTTTGAATTTAGCAGTTCATAGTTTTTCAATTTTAAACACAATGTACTTATTTATTTTAACCAATTCTCCGACATTAGTTTGCTGTTAATTAAGTGTTTTAATTTAGAACTCGGGGTTAATGCCCAACCCAAAATAGTTGATTATTCGAGGACTGGCGTGAAAATTACCGTACTTTTCTAATGAACTATGTCAATTTTCAGACGCTCATTGTTGTTTGGTAGTTTAATTTACTTATTTCGTACAGATTACCCTTGCACTTAGACTTTGGATACCTTAAATAAATGGCGAACGTCTATATATTCCGTTTATAACCTAGGAACAGTTTGGAAAGCTTACCCGGTGTGATCGTTGACTTTTGTACTTTTCATTTTTATTTTGTAATGGGTTCAAGAGTTTAATTTTCATATTTATGAAGCTCATTTCACTTTTGCCTCTGCGAATAAATAGATAGTTCAACTAAATATTTAAGAAATTAAAAAACGAACGAGCAGTGTGATTTCTGAAACTCTATAAGTTATTAAATAGATTACCTTCTATGAAAACTTCCAGTTTTAACTTGACTTTTCTAGTTTGATCAAATCTGACTATAATTATAATTATAGTTATATAAGAAGGAAGAATTGTTTTATATGTTTTATATAAAGAAATTGTTTATACTTATTATTTTCTGTATTCTTTGTACTAAATGATTTTCTGCATTATTCACTTCATTCAGATGGACAATGTGGAGATCCGCAAAAGACGGGGATCGCTGCATTTCATTCGCTTCCAGACCACCGACATGGGCAACTTCCTGTCGCTGGCCAAGCAGAAGGGCATGGCCGAGCTGGTGACCACGGTTTGCGCCACCGGCGGCGGAGCCTTCAAGTTCGAACAGGATTTCCGAGACCAAGTCAACATGAAGCTGGCCAAATTCGACGAACTGGACACACTGATCAAGGGCATTCTCTTTGCCGATCTGCACAATCGCACGGAGTGCTACTACTACGAAAATGCACGTGAGATTCTGTAAGTGGAGTAAGTGCTGGCTACGAGGAGTTTCTAACGATTTTAATTTACCAATCACTTTATAGAAAAAGCGAGAAGCGACAGTTCAACTTCTCGCAACCGTTTCCATTCATCCTGGTCAACGTTGGCTCCGGAGTCTCCATCCTCGCCGTCTACGGTCCCGACAACTATAAACGCATTTCGGGCACAAGGTGAGTCAGCTTTGGATCATTGCAAACTATAAAAATCATTCTAATTATAATTCTAATTCCGATTGTTTAATTTACGCTTAGCTTGGGCGGCGGAACATTCCTCGGACTGTGTTGCCTTCTCACCGGCTGCACATCCTTCGAAGAGGCTATCCAACTGGCCACCAAGGGCGACAACAGAAAGGTGGACAAATTAGTTAAGGATATTTATGGCGGCGATTACAACCGCTTTGGTCTGCCCGGCGATTTGGTGGCGTCAAGGTAGAACATTCGGTATAGATCACTCAGAAACAAGTTACGAATATGATTCCCATTTTCAGCTTTGGCCAGATGCACCTCAATGACAAACGTGTTTCGGTATCACGAGAGGATTTGGCCAACGCCACACTGGTCACCATAACGAACAATATTGGCTCCATAGCAAGGATGTGCGCGCTGAATGAGAAGATCGATAGGGTAAGCTATAGAAATTTGATTTGATAAGTAATCACATCTCATTGTTAAGAAAATACTAGTTAACCAGTGACCCTTAACTTACCTTGCTTCCCACCAACCCCCAGGTCGTCTTTGTGGGCAACTTCCTGCGGGTGAACCCCATTTCCATGAAACTGCTGGCGTACGCAATGGAGTTCTGGTCCAATGGCACAATGAAGGGCCTCTTCCTGGAGCACGAGGGATACTTTGGTGCGCTGGGTTGCCTGCTGCAGTTCAACGGTGAGCTGGCAGCCGCTCTCAACGACGGAGTGGAGCATCCAACTCACACAGCGTCGGATGCGGGCGAGGGTGTTTTGAGTCCGGATGTGACGACGCTTTCCACGGCGGATGAGCCAGCAGAGAAGTCGCCGTTGTCGCCAACAAGCACACACTCCACTAGATAGTCACTGTAACCACATGTTCCTCCCGCGGCCACCCGACGTGGGCCATCCGATTGTAGTGCATGTACAGTAGACCTAAGATCATTATGGCAATGGCAATGGCAATGGCAACGACTTTGGTCCTTCGCAGTTTATCTCGGTATTTATCGTACTTCTTTCTCGGCTTTAGTTGTAACTTGAAGACGCACAAATTGTAAATGCATGAAATTACTGAATGGATAAAGTGCCTGCTAGCAAGCAACGAATTTTGGCCCAAGCAAATGCCGAACACACAATTTATTTCTTAACTTTCACTTGTGTAACATTTCTCGATATGTTACTACCATGCAGTCTTCGTCAGTTTTGGTAGTTTTTAGTTCTTTTTCTACAGTGATAGATGTTAGCTCTCGGAAAAGTATTATAAATACTTGACAAACGGAACCGCAATTGAAAGTCTCGCGCGCAACAAACGGTTCAAGAGCATGTATTGCATACACCTAATGATATGCCCATGTCCTTCGACCATATTCATACATACATACCTATAAGTTTTTACCTTAACGTTTGTGTACATGATTTAAGTGGATGTTTTAAAGTTTCTTTATAGAATATAAGTTTGTGGTCATGTTATGATAGGATTCAATTTGTCGGCAGGTCAATAAAACTTGTTTAAAACATTAAACTGGTGGAATTATTCATTTTAAGAGCATCAGAGGTTGACACTTATATTTCATGATTTTAAATTTGATGTTACCATAAGGAAGCAAACGCTTCTTTTTGAAAAATTGATTAATTTATTTCCCATAGAAGTGTGATGTTAAACTATTTTCTTTAATACAAATTTTTTCTTCTTAAATTTATATTTGAAGCCATTAATGACACTGTTAAAACTATAACTTTTAGTACTTTGAATCCCACATCTAGTACTGTAAAAACTATTACCTAAATTAGTATTACTCTTAACTAATTTAGTAACAAAATAGATAGATACTCCTTTTGGTTGCGTTTAAACATCAAACATTGGCCCAAGATAATAATGACCATTAAACATTTAAAATATTTAACTTTAGAAGTTTATTTGGCAGTCAAATGCTCATAGTTTTCTCTTCATTAGCCCATTGATGTTGCTGTAGTCCCGCTGAATGCCACAATTGGACTTGAAGTCAAAGACTCGCAGATTGTGATCGGTGGCCACAAACATATATTGGCTATCACAGGCTAGGCTGTACACGGGCGATAGACCATTGTGCTGCCGCGTTCGGCCCGGGAAGTATAGTTGAACATATTTCTGCATTCTTATGTCGTAGAGGTTGACTCGTGCATGTCTGTTGGTGCCGACCAGCGCCGCATACAGTCCATCGTACTCCAGTGAATAAAAGGAACAGTCGAACGGATCCTCCCAAATTGCCACATCGCGATCAATGCGACGATCAAACATCCGAAACGTCGTATCAAAGTTGGCCGTGAAAATAACATGGTCATCTTTCATTTTTAGGTCGTAAATGGATCTTGTGTTGGAGTTGAATACCAATTCCTCGCCACTGTTAAGAAATAATTTGATAACAATTTGTAGAAAAAAAAATTTTTTTAAGAAATCTGCATACACATTAAAATTAAATTTTAAATACCAAAATGCTATAAGCCAATCATTCTTCTGTTAAAACATGTATGAAACATTTTATGTCGAAAGCTAGTATTTCCTTTATCATGAGGAACTACTGTAAAATTTGCCTAGCTTTGTACTAGTGAAAACCCATTAAAGTTCCTCCAAAACTATATCAATTAAACTAAACTAAACTTGACTAAATGAAGATTACTATAGCCTACTTTCATAGGAATACTTGGTATGCATAGGTACACCATAGTTTATGCATAGGTATACCATAGTTTAAGGTTACCTTTCCACGTGGACGGCCCTCAGGGCCCGGCGTCCTTCGTCCGTGTAGAGACCCCCATAAAGCCACTGGCCGTCTGAACTCAGTTCTAAGGCCTTAAAGGCATGCGGCAGCTTCATCACCATGTCGAAGTGCGTCAGTCCGAACTCCTGGGATCGCTGCCATAGTTTGCAGCAGTTATCGGTGCTGGTGGCGTACAGATCTTTGACAAAGTCCACGCAGTACAGATACTCGTTGGCCGGATGCATCCTCTGTTCCGTGATGCCATTCTCGTCGTAGTGGAAGCACGATCCACATACTCGTCCCGCGAATATGGTGTCCTCTTTCTTAACGAAATCGGAGATGTCGCTGTGGGTGGACGTGCTGATCTCCTCCTCGAATCGACGGAGCAGGGCATCGCAGCTGGAGCGCCGGTACTTCCGCAGATAGCCCGCATGGGTAATGTACAGGGCGTCCGCCTCCAGGCACAGTTTCGTGGGGAACATTTGGGCATGATGGAAGTAGGGGCGTTCGAAGTAGGTTCCATTAACCCAGTTCTTTGACACCTGGATGCGATCATAGTTGCTCAAGCGGGTTCGGTTTCTGGAGCAGGATTCAAAGGGGTGTTGTTAACTGGCGACCATCCTCTATATCTCATCACCTACCTCTGCTCGATTCTCGGGCTATCCCGGTGGCCACAGAGCAGCAAGTCAATGGACTGTGAGTAGTAAATGTAGTTGTCTATTATGTTCGCCAAAAATCGGTTGGCCAAGCTCAGGCAAAGGAGATCCCCCTCTGAGCAGTATTCAAAAATATGCAGCAGACAGTCGACGGTGAGATCTGTCAGCTTTAAAAGCTGATCATGCATCTTCCTTCAAGTACTTGATAATTTAAGGTTTTGAGATAACATTCATTTTGTCAAATCAAAATGTCCATTGGGAATGGCAAACCGTCGATTTCCGCTGCAAAACCGATAGTTCTCTATCGATTTTTTATTTTTTTAGGCGTATTTTCCAACACTTTAACTTTACCGTTAAATTTGAAAATAGTTAATAAGTAAATATAAATGATTATTGACTCACGTAGAACTCGACCGCTCTGACTCGTGCGAGTAATGAGGCAAAATTTTCAAAACATATCTTTCTTTTTTATGAAAAAATTTGGTGTTTGAAAATGGTAATTAATCATTACCATTGGTAATTAATCATTAAGCTTTGCATTCTTAATAATTAAATAATTTAATTAAAGACAACTTAATTAAGTAACATTCTTGGAAAAATGTTCATGTATTCTTCAATTTAAATTGTGGTGAAACCTTCAATTAAACAAGGCTAAACTTAACGGAGAAAAGTATAAACTGCCTAAAATGAATTTGTATCTTTACAAACGAATTCATGTAACGCAGGTGGTGTACACTAAAAAGATTCGCATCGATTGATGTAACCCGACTGAAATACCCCAAAATAAATAGACAGGAACTGCACATTTTGGGGACAGAAATCTAAAATACACAATTGTACGCACAAATGTGCCATGCGTATGCGCACGACCACGTACTTATACGTTTGCAACAATTTAAAGTTATTTAGAACACTGTTTCCGCAATTAGGCACGAAACTGACGAGATTTTTGCGCTAAATACCTTAACTGAGCATTTGATTGACTTGAAATAGCGTACATACTGTCTGATCTGTCTAGAAAGTTTACCATGTCTTGCTTGGAACTTATTTACGGCTTTACCTATAAAAGTACTGCAAATTAGTGCATACAATCTTATTACTCCTGGACTGATTTAGAAAAACCAGATAAAAATGGTAAGTAAAGATTTACAATTTCGCATTACCTCTTAGGTAGTAAAATATGTAAACATAATATAATCATGCAAATATTCACTTTATGCAAGATAAGGCAGACGGGAAAAACGAATTCTTAATCAGAACAAAAAGTATACCGGAAATCTTGAGAATAGACAAGAAGTCATAACAAAGAAAAGTGTAACGGCTATTTTTGGGTCAGGGAAAGTAGCGTAGCTGTCACTGTTCAGGTCTACTTTATGGTCCCCAAGGCACTTAAACCATTAGAACCTTAAAAGTGAATTTTTAACTGGGCTAGACGCTTTTATCTAGTACACCTTTGTACTTTCTATTTAACATACTTATTTTGTATTATGACCCCCTATTTGGGGGTTCTTAAAAAATACTTTAATGTGTCAAACATTATCTGAAAAAAATAGAATCGTGATTTTCATGTTAGTACAGAATGCGAATATTCTGGATCGTTCGTTCCGTTCTATAAGACCAGTTAAAGTCTTATCAAACTGAAAATGACAATTGGTTTTACCTTTCATATTACAAAGATCTCATAAGGTCGAAGTTTCAAATACCCATTCTTAATTCTATTTATTATTTAAAAAGTTTTTAAGGATATATAGCACGTTCATATCAAAAAGTAAGTTTTTTATTAGGCGAAAATTTACCAAGAGTTAAATAAGATAAGATTACATGATATGATATTTATGCTATATTTAAGAAAAAGTTATATGGTCTTAAGAATCAAAAAATCCATATGAGCATACGTATAGGGATGTAGACGTATTCAAATGGTTATCTCTCCCAAAATTGGTAATTTCCAATGGGTATTTTCCGGTCGGTTCTAGAGAAACCGCTCGTATCTAGGAAAAGTTCATGCGTGGCACTGAGCTCCAAAAATTGATAGTCACAATCTGAAGGTGACGTCGTCGTCAGCAGTTTTCGCGTTTTGCGCAGTTCTCGTTCTCTCGTCGGCAATTTCATAATCTGAACAAAGTGCTCGGCCCCAGGTAAAAATGCTCGAGAACACAACACACAGCACACAGACGAAGAAATCGGGGCATACATGCGAAGCCCCCGTCACGTCGGCACATCAGATGACAGTCGTGGGACCTCCGCATTCGCAGCTATTCACAATATTAGTTTATTGCTATTGTAGAGCAAAGTCACAAATATTTCCGTAGCCAAAGTCACGTTCGCCAGCCTGATAACTTGAAGTCTCTTGGTTGCATTATCAACTTGGGAATTACTTAGTAATTGAGAATCTCGCAGCTGATATTCTCATATTCCACTCTCAGAATTCTCTCGATTATTTGCAATTCTAAATGGGCGTGAAACATCTATTTATCTCCTAACAAAACAAATAGATTAGACTTGAATAACAAAGTTGAATTTAGGGTTTGTTTTGATATTTTGGCAAAAGTATTTATCTGATTCTAATCAAATGTTGAATGTTGTTTTAGTAAACAAAATGACGCATTAATGCTCGAAAGATCTTGGTTCCTGACTCATTGTTTTCATCTCTTGTAGCATTCCAGTTCGTCGGAATTCAGAATCCATAACAACAGTTTTGTTTGATAACTATATGTTCTGACACACAATAAAATTATGAAATTCCACATAATTAAAGTTATTATGGTACCTTTAAAATATATTTATAGAGTAAATAAATAGTTCCCCAAAACCCAAAAAAGGAAAAAATCACTACCTTTAGTAGTTCGAATTATTCTTGGTGAGATCAAATTTCAATGTATTATGTTTTTTTTCACGATTTTCACTTACAAGATTTTAATAGTAGAAGAAGCGTAATACAGAAGTATTAAATAATAAATAACAATTTGCATTCGTTGCATTTTTTTTAACATGGAAACTAATGTGTTTTAAAGCCCAAAAACAAATCAGGGCGACTGTCCTTTGATAAGATCAACAGTTGCAAAAAAATTAAAATGTTAAATGTATTGTACATAGGTAGGTTTTAGGAAGAATCGGTTGCAGAGGAGGCTGCGGAGCGGCGCGATTCTTGAACGGATCGGGGCCGCAGCGCGATTGGAAGGCAGTGAGTTCTTGTGTGTCTAAGAGAGTGTCTAAGCGAGGCTTTAAGTCTTTGTTGGCAGTACCACCTGCAGGATGACGACGTGGAACGCAGTCGGAGTCGGCGCGACCAGGAAGGCCAGGATGTCCACAGTGTCATATCACCCGATATGTCCTATCCCGGCGGCTAATCAGCCGGCATTCAGCCGGATGTAGCCAACGCGCCAGCGTGTCCCAGAGAGTAACCCGTGGGTGGGTGAAAACACGAGCCCCAATCAACCCATGTCGACGTCCGTGTCTGGTTCGGGTTCCGTGGAAAGCCCGTTGGCATTCTGGGCCATCTGGAGTGCGGTGCGAGTGTAGTCCAGCGGCTCCACGCCGATGTCCTCGTACTCGTGCTTGTTGCCCAGCGGACAGAGTCCGCCCTCCTCCTCGTCCATCGCATCGGCGTCTGCGCCTTCGGCCTCCTCCTCCGCATCGCTCCAATCCTCGGCAACCTCCACGTTGACGGGCAGGTACATGTGGAAGGGACGCTGCTCCCGCAGCCACGGTGTCAGAAAGATGTGGCTGGCGGTCATGCGTTCCGTGAAATCCTTCCGCAGCAGCGACAGCAAGAGCCAGCGCACCGACTTGGAAAGCGTCATGGGTATCTGGACGTTGCCGTGCCGGATCACCGTGATGAGGTGGCAGTTGGCCTTCTCGTAAAACGGATACTGACCCACCAGCATCGTGTAGAGGATCACTCCCAGCGACCACATGTCCGCCGGCTTGCCCTTGTACGTCGGCTGGGGACAAAGTAATTCCGGAGCGGTGTACAGTGGGCAGCCGATCTTGTCGCTTAGGGTGTCATCATCGCCGTCGAGGATCATTGAGCCCTCCAGTGATTCATACTGAAGTTTAGTTCTGTAATGGGGAAGAACAAAAATTCCAATAAAAATATGCCTTTTGGTTTAATATAATATTTTTGTCTTTATTTTAATTTATCGTAAAGTTAGAATCTATATACAGGTTTCTTCTATTCATAAAGTTTTCAGTAAGTGTGTTCTAAAAGCGATAATATTTTTTTTCGAACAGAATGGGGTAAGTATAATTTACAAGCTGATAAGCAGATAGTCTTCACAATTTGGTAACGCCAACATTGTTACCAAATAAGTTGTGAAGACACTGAAGAACAAATCAGTATCAAAAGACTGACAACACCTTGAGTTGGCATTGCCATATTATTCTGATCGCAACTGTACCCCATACATCAGACCTCGGCGTTGAGCTCTACATCATGTGCAATCCCTGGGGCTTGCATAACCCCCGAATTTGTGGGGCCATTAGCTAGCGCAATATCGAAGAGACTTGAATCGATCGGCCACGGCGTTTCAGTTGTAGTTGTCGTTGTCGTTGGCGTTGGCGTGTTGACAAGTCAAAAGGCGAATTGGCCGAGAGAGCATTGTGATTTGAGTTGAGTTGAGTTGAGCTGTGTTAAGTTGGGTTGGTGACGAAAGCGCAGCTTGCGACCCCCGGACACCCATGAGCGAGTGCCTCCGCCCCTGCACTCCCCCCTCCAGTGGCCCACTCCATTGACATTGGCCCACATTCGAATGCAAAAAGTACAAAAGTAACGAAAACGCCTGCAAACACACACACCGCGAATAGAGCCAAAAGAGAGTCAGCTGTGCTGTGCTTTGCTGTGAGTGAGTGAAGTGACGTATCGCAACTTGTTGCTGCAACGACGCTTCTGCTGGGATCCGAACACTACATTATGCTTCCCATTCGGGGGCTACGGGGCAACGGGGCTACGAGGGGGGTTCCAATAGCCAACCGAAAGATATACAAACACACGGTCGCCGTGGTCTGGTATCCAAACATCCAAAGAGCCAAACACAAAGCAGGCCGAAAAAAAAACCTCGAGCTGACCCTGAACAAAAACAAGCTTTGAAACGCGCCTCGTCACAAATTACAGTGTACACTGTAGAAAACTTATTACCTTCAACTTGATATCAACAGGTGAGAAATAAATATCAAATTGACATTTGTAATATTTTTGGGGGAAAAAAGAATTGAATAATTTAATAATGACTATTTGAAGATCCATCCTTTTATTGACTAGAATCTTTATAATTAATCGTCATTAAGATAATCTTCATTATGATTTCTTGGTAAATTTTAGGTTTATTTATAGTTTTCTAAAACCTCTTTTATTTGATTAGTTATCAATCAACATATAAATATTTTTAAGACCAAGTCAATTTGTGGCAAATAAAATATCACTTTGTGATACTTTTTAAGATCAAGGCTCTTTATGAATCAATGAAAATGTAATAAAAATGTTTCTGTGCACGGAATACAAGTTAAGATGGTGAAGTGGAGAATAGTTACAGCTGACGACCTCGATGTGAGAAAAAGAGAGGCTTTGAAGAGCGTCTTGGGGGCGGCGAATGGACGATCTCCTTCTCTCTTTGGCACAAATTAAACGTGCGATAGAGGTTAAAAAAATCAAAAACGAAATACGGAAAACCGGCGGCAGATAAGTGCTCAAACACCTTGGAAGTATTTATGTACAGGCGAGCACATAAAATAAAAGTATAAGGCACAGATTTACATGCATAAATACGCGTTTGTATATAGGCACTGGCATATACATAAATGCGTTAAAAATACAGAAGATCAGAGTCAGGGCCACTCACCGCATTGTGACCTTAAAAATTCGGTTCGTTGTTTGGATGTGCATGTGTGCGCCCCTTTTGGATATGGATATGAAATGATATACACACGCCTATGTACCCAGTACTTATCTGTACAGCGCTTTTCGAATGGGAATGAGCGCTAATAATCGCAGCGCATTTAAATCGCATTGAACACTTGTTGTTTATTTCTCGCCAAGGTGAGAGAGGTATACTAGATAGAGATCTATGGGTTTCTTCCTTCCGCCGTTTTTGCACTTGGCACAGAACGGCGAAATGACGAAAAAATCGGCAGATATTTCGCTAATTGTAAAACATACGGAATCGAACAATTGTTCACGTCAATTCCTGCTGATGTCAGTAAAAAGCAATGATAATAAGAACGAGCGACGGCGCGTTCTCAATTCATTCGTAGTTATTAGCATTTGTGAAAATACATTTCGAATTGATGTGAGGCGAGGTGGTGCGAATATTTCATCAGACACTGTAATCTGTACGTTCCTCTCTCAGTCACTATAAAAACCGAGAGAACACTGTAGAAGGTGGCCTACACCACCAATCGTCACCCCCCACCCACATTGCAAATGCTATGTTGTACAATTCTTGAAATGTGGCAATAATGCTAGCTTCCAAAACGTGTAATGAAAACGGGTGGCCCAACATTTTCGCCATCACTGTGTAGCACATTGGCCCTTGTGTGTATGTACACAGGTACACTAGAGGTCAAAACTACAGAGCCAATTTGTTATCTGCTAAGATATGGGTTTCATGGTTTATGCATAACAAAATTTGGTTCAATTAAAAAAAAAAAAATTAATTTATATTCATTTGTTGATATTAAAATTGTAAGAAAGTTATAAAACATAATGACCAATGCAATATTTTTTAAATTTTAAAAATTTAGTTTGATAACAGAATAAATACATGTTTTTTACAAGTTTTAAAAATATTGAACTAATTAAAATTTAAGCATTTACAATCATATAATCTAACAAGCTGTTTAAATTTTAGAATTTTATAAAATAAATAAATAAAACTATAGTTACTAAGATCATAGTTCTGTCACAGAACATTTAATATTTGTTGGTATTTTCGGAACTACAATTTGCCCCTGAGCTGTGCATACACTCGTACGCTTTTCGTTCATGTGGTTTGTCAGTATAATTGTTTTTGTTGGCCTATTGGTGATTCGATTGCAACACTTGTTAAATGTTCAATGTTACCCACAACGACGGCGCCAGCAACAACAGCAACAACAACATTGCGGGCCAATAACAAGAGCAACAATTGTGGCACCACCAACACACGACCACAAACAAGATATCTCGCTCATAACGAGTTTCCATCGAATTGCAAAATAAAGCGACTAGCCATATGCAATTGAGTTGCTATAAGGCATACATATGGCATATGGATATAGGTTTTTTGAAGGTGTCACCGGGACCGGGGACGCAACTCACCTGGCCTCGTCGATGAAGTAGAATCGCTTGAGCTTGAGGTCCCTGAGGATAATCCCATTGCGGTGGCACACCTGGACGGTTTGGCAGATCTGATGGAATATGGCTCGCGCCTCCGTTTCGCACAGTCGCTTCTCGTGGCGGATATAGGTGTGCAGATTTTCGTACACTCCGGCCACTCCGCCCGTGGAGTCCCTCTCCTGCGGAACCGGGGCAATGAGTATGTAGGTGCGATCCTTGGACAGCGGCACTATGTCATGCACGGGTCGGATCAACGAGTGACCGTAGATGGTGCTCCTGCGCAGCTCCTCATCCTGCTGCTGCAGTTGAAAATAGGCCCGCTGCACCTTATGGAGCGGCTCGTTGACAATCCTGCAGAGAAACTGCTCCCCAGTAAAGATGTCCATGCAGCGCAGATTGGAGGCGGTGAGATCGACCAGGTGGCGATACGACGCGGGCGTCTTGGCGGCCACGGCGGCCGATATGTGACTAGGCTGGGCACTGATCAGATAACGCTTTTCGATCAGCTTGACGGGTTGCTGATCCGTGGGTTCCGCAGCAATTCCTAGGGCCAAAAGGTCACAGGCACCGCCCGGAGTCAATAGCTTCTCGCGGATGGTCTGCAGCATCTTGGCATTGGGAAATTCCTTTTTGGGCGTGAACAGACCAAGTACAGTGGTGTCCTCCTGATTGGAGCTCATGCTGCTGCTGCTGGAGGTGGACGCGACTGTTGGCGAGGCCGGTGAATAGTTGACTATTTTGTTGGTTGCCGCAGACGCTGTTCTGCTATTTTGGCTGCTACTGTTATCCATGCTTGCTTGTTTACCACTTAACTTTATCACAGTTCTTGCTCTCGCTACGTCTTCTTCTTCTCTAATTCTTCTTCTTTTCTTGTTACTTTTGTTATTCCTCTTTTGCTTGGCTGTACTTAGCTGTTAATTGTTTTGACATTTGGCGACGCGCCGTTTAGTATACGATTAATTCCGATATAAACTTTCGATTAAGGTTTAGGCTACTTGGTTAGTTTGGCCATATGCAATGCGGGTACTCGCTGACGAAATGCGGCGATTTTAAAACAAATCGAACACTAAATTCGCGAAACGACACGAAACGCGACCGTCTACTCCGCAGTTTGAATTTGAAATGTGACCGAAAACTGTGACTCGCGTGGCTGGAAGAAGCACAGCGCAAGGAGAATGGGAAAATACAACGGCGCTCTCGTGCGCTCTCTCGCTCGCTCTCACTTTACCGATCTGTTTCCGTCTCGCTCGCTCAAGCAATATTGAGTTGAGAATGCGGATGGATGGGAGAGGAAAAGAGTGATAGAGAGGGAGAGGAAAGGCCGAGAGCAACGTTATTTTTCAAAATGTAAATGGACGGGAAGAGGGAGAGCCACAGCATCGTTATTTTTGAAAACATTGCGTTGAACGCCGAAATTCCCATTCCCGACGACTGAATTCGAAAAACCTCGCTGTACGAACACTATCTTTACAGCAACCCTTAAAACTTGTACGATTTTCATATTAATCTGCGCACTAATAAAACGTGGCAACAACTTAGTTAGATAGAGGGTTAATAAACTTTAGCATGAAATTTAAAATTATAAGGCCAAATATAAGTACAGTCAACTCGATTTTGTATTTAGTTTTAATAGGTATTGAGAGCAGAAATGCCCTATGATGCGGGTATGACCTAGACTACAGCAACCAAAAACTTAAAGAGTAGACAAAATTTTGAATTTCATATCAAAGCCTTAGAAATTCTCAACACTATTCCCAAATGAGCGTCTTCTGGGTAAATTTTCTTTGAAATATAATATATACAATTATTTCTTTATCTTAAAACTATGGAAGGAGCACGGGCTTCATAAAAGTAGGCTACTTCGTTGGATTATAGTCTTGGCGTTAAGGAACATTTTTCAACATACCGTTAAAATTATATGTCAATCATGGATATATAGAAATTCAAGGATGATGGATCTTTCGAGTTTATTCTCAAAAAAATATATGTATCAGAAAAATACATACAATTTAAATATAAATACAAAAATCAGATTGCGTATGATCTGTGCCTGCTCGACTTATACTACCCGTATTATACAAGTTTTTAAATTCTTTCTCCAAATGTATTTAAATAATAAAATGAGCCCTACAATCTTATGGATCCACCAAATCGATCATCGAATTTCTTCCTGTGCGTGATCATTACACATTTTTGTGTGTATGTGTTGCTGTTTGTCTTCGCAGTGCAGACAATTTCATGATTTTTGCAGCTGTCCCAAAACGAGGATCACTGGGCTACGCAGGAATTACGACAACGACAGAAGGTAGTGATCAGAGGAGATCTTCGAGGAGCAGGTAAGAACCACCGAGCGGCATTATGTCGCAGGTAGATTTCTATGTCAGCTGCACTATTCCACCCCTAAGCACTATATTCCGCCATATAGTGCATTGGTGCAGGGCTGTACATGCGGTGCAGTTGCAGCTGGCGCAAGGTGATTTCCCACTGAAGACATCCGTCTGGTCCTTGGTCTGAGAATACACAGGCACACAAATGCGCTCAAAATAGTAGCACCAGCATGAGCAATTAATATGACCTTTTTCTATATCTGTCAAATTATTCCAGAAAATAATTTCGAGAAGTCAGTAATTGTACATTTAAAATTTAAATTAAAAAAAATTTTATTTAAATTTAAAAGTACTAAAACACTTTAGATTTTTTTATGGAGGCATTATTTAAGTTCGTGTAACATAAATAATTAATAAATACAAAATACATTTTTCTACATTTAAATCTAACGGCTTGTGTTTTCAATTTTTAAATTTTGCGTATGATTTTCCCCTGATGCTAATATTTTAACTGCAGGTGTACACACAATGTATTTTGGGCATTGGTTTTTATCAATGCGTTTTCCACCGAGCCCTTCGATTGAATTCTTAATAATGTAACGCTCATTTTTAAACGCAACGTCCGTTTCATTTTCTTCTTCTTTCCACAACGTAGCCGATAAATACGAATGAGAAAATCGCGAGCAGAACAAACAAAACTTCGTCTCTGTCTCTCTTTCTTTTTTCGCCGTCCCTTTCCACATTTTTGCATCTGTTTCTTCAAAAAGAAGATTTAAACGAGAATTATACTGGTACCGTGACACCAATTCAACCGAAAAAGGAGTTAAATTATATGGGTAACGATATCAGGCAGTAATTATAAAATATATTGTTTAAAACAGAAATACTTTCGTGTACGTATGGCTTATTTATATGCAAGATTTTTATTGCCTCGTTCTGGTCACTGCTCTTATTTATACGATTAAGAAGGCATGAACATTTTGATATGAAAATATATGTATATACAGGAAATATAGTCTATAGAAATAGTCACGTACACATGTGTATATATGAGTGTAACTGAATGGAAACAATTTTTTCCAATAAATCATATTTGAGTTTCACCAAGGCTCGCAATGATGATTAATTTTTGACCGCAGGCTTATAGGGCAAATTATATTTCTAAGAAATTGGAAGTAAAGACCAAACGGTTGCGTCAAAAAATTACAAAAGAATTTACCTAAAACTAAAATAAAAAGTGCATGTCGTACTTAAAAAAAACACAATATATTTTTCATAGATAGGGAAGTACTTTTGAACTTATTAAAAATCACTTAATTTTTAGCTAAATAAAGTATATTTCCCAAAAATATTATTCTTATCATTTATTGTAAACAACAAATTATAAAAGACAATATTAAATTTTGTTGTAACTGAAACACGATCCAACCATATTCACATGAACAGATTACTTCAATTTCACCAGTCTATTGTACGATTTCACCAGACTGTATAAAACAACTGCACTCAAAACAAATAAACTAAATACAAGTTTATGAAATTATTTGTACCGTAGAGTCTCTTTGACCCACTGTGCTTAAAGCCCCACCAAGAATACGTTACATTTTAAATTTAAATTCGAAATACTGATTCGGTTGAGATATCTTAGGAAAGCGGTTACTTTTTTACGAGACTCGCGGCGAACGAAATGGATGTAGCTTTGCTAAAATTTCCGCATGCCTTTTGTTGTTGTCTGAGTGAGCGGGTATTTTGTTGTTGCCATGCTGGCATGAAATCTAGATTTCTCTCCCCATATTAAAGTCGCCAAACTGAATGCGTCATCGGCTGCGTCATCAATTCGGGATGACGACGCTTCGCGATTCCGTATCCCAAATTCCCCTTCCTGATTCTCCACTTGAAGCCCCCGTCACAACGAACGACATTCCCTGAACAACCAACCACACGTAAACTTGAATATCTTGTATACCGGTGGGCAGGATTTTTTTTATTATACACTCACTTCGAAGTTTCAGATTCGCACGAAATTATGGAAGGTGAAGTTCTCGAAGTGAGTGGTGTTTTGGATGGGAAATGCATGATGCATGGCGATGATTTGGCATTTATAAAAAAATGTAGATTAAGCTGTTGCACGTGATAAGCACACCGATTACACTTGCAAAGGAACCTAAGTAGAAACAAATTTTAAGTCATACAAGTAATTAAACAAACAAAAAATATGATTAAAAGTAAACAAAAAATATAAAAGACTGAATGGTATCATAAATTAGAAGTAAGCATATTCACAAAATTATGAAACTCAATCACATGTTTTTATTAAAGCTGATAGTAGTCATGAGTATATTCAAAGCCACGAAATTCTTATCTATAAATTGTAAGATAATTATATCTACATAAATAAGTAAAAACGTATAAAAATAATAAAATTTAAAAAACTGGTAAGCGAAATGAATCAGTTATTTTTTTTAAGACGGGAATCATATCAAAAATTAGCTGATCGGTGTAAATACAATTTACGAACGGTAAATCGAATCGGGCATCACAGAAGATACACTCTCACTCTTTCGAGCGTGCAGTATACAACACAACACAACACAACACAACAGGTTGTCGGCGGTGTTTGGAGAAAGTGCTTATTGCCAACAATAATATCAGGTGCAATGACCACATACCTAGGCGGTGGTTGGTTCGAAAAAAGTGTATAAATTGTCATGGAAACGCGACGCTCTGTGGACGGCAAAACATGCAAGGGAACTTGATCTGATTAAAACTTTTAGGGGAATTTTCCGACGAAATGATTTACTGTGAACATACTTAAAAGCCAAAAAAAAGCCAAAGCTTATCCAACATTAGACAAGCTGCTTAACCACTGTTAATAGAAATCATTAAAACTTTCTTTTTACTACAAAGAGAAACAAAACCATGTAATGAGTAATGCCATTGAACTTTATTTTAGTTGTGCGGGCACAGAACAACATTGATATTTGTTCCATTCAAGATGAACTATTTCCCGATGTAAGTTTGCTTCGAAAACAAAACATTTTTCACATCGAAATTGTATTTTTTGTAGTCTTAAAGATACCATTCAGTTTGAAGGACACAAGCATGGGTTCAAATACAGCAAACACTTTCCCGGTCACACGCATTTATGCGTAGGTGGTGAAAATTGCTGCCCTTTTCTGGGTTTTAGTTCTTCCCAGATGCATTTCCCAGATGCCAGCATGCCGAGGATTAGGCATTGTCCAAAATATTTGTATGAAAGAGATACCCCGTCGAAATAGTATTGATGTTTTCTCGCACACATGCTTGGAAATATTATTACCAGTCACGGCGTGGGAACCGTAGCAAAAATCTCCCAGGATCCATATAGAATATTGCCATTTCTGGACGTAAAGGTTGGTAATTTGCGACACATTTATAATACGGGTGGCACCGGCATTTCCCAGGTGAAAATGATTTCTTCAGCCCAAATAGCGGCTACCCTGCATTTCATATTACAGATCTCTTGGCAAAAAAAAATTGTTTGTCATGGAAAATGAATTTTTGAAGAAAAAATTAACCCCTTATTCTCAACTCGGACACAAAAGAAAGTGAGGTACAGACTGCAGAACACCATTAACCCTGTCAACCCCTATATGACAATTGTTTGAGCTATCAAAAGGATATTTTTCAATAAAATATTATCCAAAATAGTTTCATTAAGAATACCCTTTCTTGAGAGGTTGGTTTGATATGCATATGTGCTTTTCCTGGCTTTCCGGAAACCCATTCTGAAAGGGTAAAACAATTTCACAGTTTTTCCA